TGCATTCAGTGGGTTTGAACTTTCTCTGTCCCTGCAATGTAATTTTGGCATCTGGAAAACAGGAGTAACTCACTTGTAGTGCTTTAGAAGGGACAAATAAGAAAGGATCTCTAAGGGCAGATTACTCTTATTAACACTTGAAATCCACCGTGCTGCCCCTGGACTGGGTATGATGGAGAACCCAGAATAACATGCAGTAAAGCATGTGGACCAGTCATTGTCTCTGAGTGTCTGAAACTCTCATCTGGGAATCTCTTCAGCTTTAGCCAATTCAGCTGAAGTTGAGGTAACTATTGCACACAGAGTATGAAGGATTTTTTTCCCCCTAAAATACTGTAAGTATTTGCTACACCATTTGGTGAACTGGGGCATAAATACCTTTCCTGTTCCAGAAGTAAGGCTGGTGCAGCTCCTGGAGCAGGTATGGGGAGGGCAAGGAAGATGATGTGCAAAAAATGCTGAATGGAGATCATAGCAAATACCAACCCAAAAAACCTCAACACCACCAAGTATCCAACAGCCCTGAGTAACCAGTGTTTGACTTCTCTGTGTATTTATGTGTGGTTAACATCTACTTTACAATGGCCACTGACATCATCACAAAGCAAACATTCAGTTTTGTCTGTGCAGCAGAACTTTAAACAGAACATTCTCCTCTGCCACCTTTCCCAGCCTTGCAGACACATACAACTTCAACCTTCCTTTGCTTAAGGAGCAAAACGATCCTTTGCACCACATGCAAAAGCAAAACCAGGAGAATTCCTCCAAGGGCTTATTGTGGACAAAGACCAAACTACAATACACTACTTACTTTTGTGGCCATATACACACTACACAGAACAGTGTGGCAGCACAACTACAAACTCCTTTCAGCCTTTCTTGGGGTTAAAACTTTGACAGGCAGGTAAGACATTAGAGTTCAAGCACCTAGAAACTCCAGCACAGCATTTCAAAACTGGCTTGAACAGAAGGCTCTTGCACAGCATCAAAGTGCAATAATTTGAGACAAAACAGGGAGCTCTACTGTAGTTTTTATAAATGTTAAAAATAAGAGACAAAATGGCATTTATTTGTGGCTCAGTAAATGACATCACAATCCTCAGGCAAATAGAGTTCTACTGTCAAATATGAAGTGTCATGGATCTAGCATTCCACACTCCAGGACAAAGGTTGCTCCAGCCTGACCCTTGAACTGGGCCCCATCAAGGTTAGATCAAGTTTGTTGTTAAATTTCCCCAATGCTGAGACCCAGCCCAGAACTCTTCTACAGGATCTGCTTTATGCAGTGGCTTGGCAACGATTTACTGTGTGGCACAACCTTGACCATACCTCCTGGAGACCTTTGCACAGCTCACACACAGCAGGCTGGAAACTGCTCCACGAGGCTCAAACCGTTGAGTTGGTTGGAGTCTGGTGAGAAGTGCCAGCCCAGGGGCTAATCTCCAGCAGGCAGTGGGCACAGGGGATGCTCTGCCAGAGCTGGTTACAGGACCAGCCCCCAAAGAAGCGAACGCTGCCTTCGTGGTGCTCAGCACCAGGAGCTGCTCCTGCCCACTGTGATCAAACCTGGACGTGGCATGTTGGGCTGAAGTGCAGCTGTGAGGCTGTATCCAGGGCTGGGGACACTCAGCAACACCTGCTTAGGGACCTCTGTGCTGTTCCTCACTGTGCCCAGGGGCAGTGCTCACACGAAAGGAAGAGCAGCTCATGGGCCAGATCTGACCTGATCTGCCACACTTCACTGCAGACACCACGGCCAGGCAAACCAGCACTCTGCAACACCCCTGTAACTCCTGGGACCAACAGTTTCTGCACGTGGCATCACAGACTTCATGCCACAGAAATGTGTTGCTCCATTGACATGAGAAAACACACCATGTTTGATGTAGATAATGTCAGTATGGAAAAGAAGGTTGCAGGAACCAACAATCATAAGCAGATAACTCTTTGTTAATCATGATGCAATTACATAAGGACAAAATTTTTACAGTATAAGCTCTCCCCCCAAAGACCCCACATCCCCCCCCAAAGAAATCAAACCCAACCCCCCCAGAGGACTGAAAAACACTGGGCAAGATAAATGCCATACTGCTGGGGTGAGTATCTTATCTGTCTGGACTGACCAAAAGCAAAAATGTGCTCATGATCTAAACATACTGAGGTTTCTAGATTATATATCCCTTCATTAGGAATTAGGCAACAAAGATGCAGAAAACCAAGGGGAAAGGAACAGATGAAACAAGAGCCTAGAACTCCATTTTTTGCTTCAAAACATTTCTAACTTTGAGGCTTCTGACATACACAAGCTTAGAAAAATGATAACAAGTTCAAATGATCTTCTGACCAGTTGGGAAATGACTCTAGACTGTTTGTACACAACTTTGAGGCATTTTGTTTTAATTTCCATACACTTCCTTAAAGTGAATTCCACATGAAGAAGGGTGAGATACAACAGAGCTCATTAACCATTCCACAAGTTAACAGAACAAAGTAAATATCTGTCCTCCTTATTAACTAGTGTCTACCCCTTACTCCAACTTGTCCCTTCCTGCTGCAAGTCCCAATGCCAAATAAATGTATGGAATAGTTCCAAACTCCACAGATGTTCACATATGGACTTCAGTGACACTGCAAATTATAACAGCAAGTAAAGAACTGAAATAGAAAGACTTTAGATGGCCTTATATCCTCTTAATGGTTCACAAATGAAGGCCCAAAATTCTGAGTAGAAAAATACCTCAGTTGTCCAGCTCAGTTATTCACCTGACTGTGGTTCCTCTATGGAGCACACAGCTAAGGCTAAGGAGAAAATATTCTACCAAATCAGAGAGGGCATGAAATCAGAAACAGAGAAGTCTCAAAATAAGTGTGCTAAAACGGACTCCCCAAACAATTTTCACATTTAGTCAATATTTCATGTTTCAGAGACATAAGCTGCAAAGAAGTTGAGCCTACCAACAGCAGCAGAAAATCCCTGCCACCTTAGTTTAGGTCTTACAGCAATACACCCTTCTCCAGGTGTAGGAACTGAGATTCTGTGACACTGTTCACAGTGAGGTGAATAAAAACACCCTCATGGATTGTGTTGAAATGGAAAATTGCAGAACTCTGAACTGCACTCCCTGACATTGAGGGGTTTGCATGTGCTCACACATCTGCACACCACATCACATCTGGGGGTGCCAGTGACTGCACCTGGGAAACACCAATCCTTCTTCCTCTCATGACTGTGGATTCTCCAGCAAACCTACTGAGTCTGAAATACATCAGTACCAGAGAAGAGACTCAATAAAAAAAATCTTTGTACACTTTCATATTTATTAATTCTCTAGCAATTTTTTGCTATATATTTAATGCTAGTGTGACAAAATTCCTGATAATTATATATCATGCAGGTAACTTAAATGGAGTTAGCACTATCTAAACTGATAAACCTACCACTAGGGTTACCTTGGCTCTACAAGACAAGTATTGGCTGCAACAGTAACATCTAGGTGGATATGTGTATGACACAACAGGCTCAGCTGGAGGCACCTGCAGGCACCAACAGGACAGCACAGCCCTCAGGACTGGAAACATCCTTTGACCCAAACAGACTTGACATTATTGTTTAAGGTGTCTTGAGTGGAGTTGGAGACATGTTGGAAATCACTGTTAGGAGAGAGAGTGTTTCTGTGGTTAGTCAAATAGTTTAGCTCTTGCTGGTTAAAGTTGCTGTGGTTTGAGTTCTTCCTTTGACAGAGCAGAATGTGTTACTCACTCTACCTGAACTGCTGTTTTGTAGGTCACAGAAGAGATACTGAGAGCATACTGTACCTTTCTGCAGGTGAAGACAAAGATTGCTGCCAGATTGCTGCTATTCCTTCTCTGCAATTCCTTGGTGAATACATTGTCATCAATAGCAACTATGAAAACAAACTCCCTAGGGTCCAAATGTTTTAAAAATATATTACAGGAAAGTCTACTTGTAAATTACTTCCTCTTCTCTCCTACATTTCCCACAGGTTTCAAAACATAGCAATTATAAATGCAATTCTCAGAAGAATAACAAGAGTTGTGATAGTCTTGGTCGTACCGGGCACTTCCCTTTTAAATGACATACATTCCAACAGAAATACCACAGCACCAACCAGGTCATTGCCACTAAAACACAGTGCAGACCACTCAGTCCAGCGTCAGAGCATGTGTATGTGTGGATAATACTGGAAAGTAGTCACACATTAGAGGTATATAATTGAAACAGCATTTTCTTCCATGAACCTGCTATTACTGAGGCAGTGACAAGGTTTCCATTTCTTTGTTTTCTGAGCTCTTTAAAGAATGGCTTTGCCACATTTTGTAAACCTAAATACTGTACAAGCAGGAGCTTGTTGGTATCAGGTAAGGAGTCACACTACTAGTGCAAACAGGTGCAGAGACAATGCCTCCAGTTTTGGGGTGAACCAGCTATAGAACACTGACATGGACAGGCATCTTTAACCCCACACTCATGTGTGTCTCCACTCAGCCACACATCCTTCTCCATCCTGCTCTTCTTTGTACAAAGTGGTTGGGGGAGAACCACCAGCTTCTGTGATATTTATCATGTGAAAGATTTCTTGACTGTTTTCCCCACTAATACTATGAATTTATAACAAGTCAAGGAACGATAAATACCTCAAGCATCAGAAAAGTGACAATAATACTGACTTAGTATCTTTAGTAAAAAGTGAAACATTCTCTCCTGAGATATAAGTCAAGGAAGGAACAGGAATGATGAACCTAACACTGTACCATTATTTGATCATCATGCACCTCAGCTGACCAGATGAGAAAGAGCAAGTGTGTTTTGCCCTCTGCTCATCCAGAGCTATGACAGGCAATTATTTAGCTAAGTGCTTGGCATACCAGTCTGCTGTCAGAGCAGCTCACAATGTACTGTCCCCCTTTAGCTTATTCTTTAAATGGAAAAAAGGAAAAAAAAAAAAAAAAAGAAAAAAAAAGAAGAAAATCTCAGCAGGTTAACCCTCATCTTCTCTCAGCTCTGTGGGTAGAAATTTGTATTGCTGTTGGCGGATCTGGGCCAGTTTTTTCCTTGCCTCCTCCAGCTCTCTTTCCTTCTTCAGCATTTCTTCCTGGGCTGCAATGATCTAGAAAACAGAAGTACTAATTATGACAGCAAGGAATAATGTCTGCAAAGTAAGATCACTTTCTCCATGACACGAGTCACAGTTAGCCCTTGGGAACTCCACAGAGAAGCACCAAATGCTGATGACTTCTGTCAGCAATTGCTCAAGTTTTTCCAGACCCCAGGACTATGCCATCAAAACCAGGATCATATTCCCACTTGTCTCTCAAAGAAGACTAAAAAAGAGAAAAAAGCATCTACTACCAGTTTTACCATGCATGGATTTGTGGTGCTGTGCTCTACAGTGCCCAACATTCACCAGCACATGTAGCATAAGCAGCATGTCTCAGCACAGGGTTTGGTGACAGTAAATTAAACACTGTGTGTAGTCACAGCATTTTCCTGCATCTCAGAAAAAAATGACAGCAGTACAGACATGGAGAAACAATAAAGTCCAATATCTTCTAAGTAGTGACTACAGAATATGGTGTAACTCACTCCTGACAAGGAATCCAGAGGTTGGTACAAAAGCCTTGGAATCTATTTCTAAATACTATTATTTCTCAAGAATTCATGTGGTCACAGCAATGAAATGTCATTGCTTTTTATCCCTCACTCTCTATCTCTTTGCTTACATACATACAAAAAACTAGAGTTCCATTAAGATTCGAGAACATTTGAAGTTCATAAGAGAAAACTGCAAAGAGCCATGAACTTAGTCAGGACAGAAGGTGCTGGACACTGGCAGCGGCTGCTGCGGGAGATGCTCAGCGAGGCAGTGCAGACATCACACAGCACAGCGTGGCACAGTCTCTGCTGCACTCCTGGGGGGATTGCACCCACCTGAGCAATGCCACCCACAAACTTGGTCTTGACCACGACGTCGTCGTCCTCGGCCTTGCCGAACGCAGCTTTCTGCGCCGCCCTCACCAGGCTGTCGGACGCGCGTTTGACGGCGTTTCCTGCAGCCTTTGGGACACGGTGGAGACTCAGCATGAATGGAAACACAGAGCTAACACAGACTCACTGAGCTTCCAAACCAGCCCTCTCGCTCGACTGCACAGGGAACATGTTGTGTGTTTCCCAGTGAAAAGCAAACAAATCTTTCCAAACCAATGGTACAGTGCTGAACGCAGCTCCTTTATTTAAGAAGCTGAAAGCTGGAGCAGTTCTCACAAATGAGACTTTTCCTACAGTTTGAAATGGAACTGGTTGTAATTGCAAGTTATATTACACACAACTGATCAGACTTCTTTTTTGAGAAAGAAGAACAGAAGATGTCTGTGTATAAAGACACAGTATAAGACAATGGCACCGTGTGCTGCCTGAGCTGGACAGGCCCAGCAGGCTGGGCTGCCTGGCACCCCCCTGGGTGGGCAGCCAGTTCTGAACACAGCCCCCACCTCCCCCAGCTCTGAGCTCTGCTCAGGGGCTACAAAAGTGCTCAGAGTAAGCACTCCCAGCTCCTGTATTCCTGTGGCTTACCATGAGTACCAATCCATCAGCACTGCACCTAAACCAGGGCAGTCACGATCTACATCTACCAACACCTCTTAGAAAGGAAGACTAAATCAGGCCATGAAATGAGCTGCAGCTACTGCTGAGTGACTGCAAACACAGTCACCTCATCCAAGGTGAATCAAAGTGTCCCAGGACCCTACAAGGAGGAAAAGCTGAACCAAAATCTCAAAGCTGGAGAAACTTCCTAAAATCTGGGGTTTAGTTCATGCCACACTAAAGCAGTGTTTACACAGCACTCCCAGGGGCTTTCAGCAACCACAAGCACCAGTACCTGGAGCCTCCTCACGGCTTCAGAGTCATGATCAGCCTTCACTTTGCAAGCCACAAGCAGCTGTGCTGTAGAAGCAGCCACTTGTTTGGCAGATGAGATGAGCTTCTCCTCGCTAGCATGGCCTTGCACGGAGGCATTAGCTGCTTCACAGAGATTGCTGGTGGCAGCTGCCACCATGCGGGCCTGGAAGACAAACAAAAGTCACTGTGTGTCCTCACAGGACATTATTTCTCCAGAGAAGCACCAGTTTTCCCAAGAGGATTAGTTACTCACAGCGGAAATAAGTCCCTGAGACCACTGTCCATCATCAGCTGCATTGGCAGGGATTGCTCCAACCTGAAAAATAAATCAAAGATGGCTTACAAGAAAACAGAAAATACAACTGCTTTGTCTCAGGTTTAGACACTGGCTGCAAACATTCCTGATCATTCAGCAAGTTACTGCAGGAGAGTGTTGGACAAAGCCAGGGGGCTAAATTGAGTAGTGCAGGCTGAACGGGTCTGCTGACACTGCACTGTATCTGACAGCTCTGATGGAACAGCAACCTGCAGCTTTCCTCCGACAGACTGGCCATTTCAGCAGCTATCAGAGCTTGGATGGAATAGGACACAAGTGCCTCAATGTGAGAAACACCAACAGAAACATATCTATTGGAGCAAAGAAGCCAAAAGTACCTGAGGGAGACTCAGGGCTAGAAACACATTGTGTATTACTCTGTGTAACTTCACTGTGCTGGTGGTGAGGAAGGTAAAGCAAGCTCAGTGTCATAATGAAATGCTGTGGGAACAGGTCTCATCACGTAAGAGCTGCCTGCACAACAACCCAGGCCAGGCAGGTAAGTCAAAACTCTCACTGTGTTGACAGCCAGACCTCGGTGGGTGCTAATGAAGCTGTGAGTTCTGCACTATTGGCCAGTTCTGCAGCTACAGCTCATGGCAGGTTTTTACAAACAGTTAGGTCACTGCTGTTCTGAAACTAGTGCTCTGTGCTCCTGCTAGGCCTAGAGGCACAAGCTTCCCAGGAATCCCAGCAGAGGTGGACAGCACATCTCCATTGCTGGATCCACGACACAACCTGCTCCAAACTAAGGATTAGATGAAAATGGAAACCATAACTACACAACAACAAGGATCCTATTACAAACTCTTCTCACGGGCAACACACCTGGTTCACGTTCAGATTTTAAGACTCAAACTATATTAACGGAGAGCACCAAGTGAGGGCTATGAGAGGAGCTGCAGAGCCCTCTGTTCTGAGCACACCAGAAGGAGGACTCATGCCCTAGGTCCCAGCAGGGAGCAGGCTGGGTGTGCTGGGTCTCTGGGCAGGCACAGCCAGAGAGGCCTTTGGCACTCCAGCCCCGAGTGGTCCAGGTGCCTCGTGGGACACTGGCCTGAACCACAGATCCTCATGAAATGAACAATCCACAAACAGTAAAACTCCCCCAGAGCTGACACATGGGAAGAGCCAAACACTTGATTACACTTGCGAGATTTAATGAACATATCTGTGATTCCTCAAACAGAACCACGTACTGGGATGAGCAAGGAAAAGATGGATGTTCTCATTAGCTATTCCCAAGTTTCTTCCCTACTGCTTTAACGGAGAACAGTTAGAGTAGATTCAGCTTCGATGCTTTCCCCCACCACTGCTGCTGGTCCTGTTTACCCACCTTTCCCTGTGCCACCAGTTCTCTCTGGGCTGCTGAGGCTGATTTCACCAGGGCACTGGTAGCAGCTGCAATGGACTTAGCTGCTTCCAGGATCTGTTCTTCAAAATCCAGAGTCTCATCTGCTTGCTATAACCAAGAAGAAAATGATGTTACACATTCACCTGAAAGCCATTTTATTTTCATGACTGAGGACAAAATAAGACAAGAAGATTTTTGAACATATCAGTAAATCCAGTAAGACCCACAGCATCATTTTCTGCAAAGGAGTTCCATCTGGCCAGAAGCTGAGAGTCAACAGGAGTGAGTTCAAATACTAGGCTGCCCCTGTGGCTGCTCATGCTGGAACTGAGAATTGCCATCAGCTTTCGAACACATCTCCTCCACTAGGACTATTCTAAACTACATCAGAAAAGTGCAGGTCTGAAGAGAAATTCTTGGTTATCTCTGTAGGGCTATAACACTGACTTCCAGGATTGCCATACTGGGTAAGGCATTTTCTAAAGACTTAAGGCATTGGAACAGAACAGTAATAAATGTGTATTGCCTCACTGACCTGTGCTAAGAACACTACAGCAGACACCAAGCAAGAGCACAGACTTAACAGCTTTCAGTTCAGAGCTGTCATTTCACAGAGAGCATCGCTGTGAGCCATCCTGGGCAGATGAAGCTCCAAAGGTCTGTCTGGAACACCTCAGCCACCCACAAGTCTTTCCACAAGCATGTGACAACAGAAATCAGCTGCTCCTAGTGAGGTTTCTCTCTGTTTAAAATGCAGATCTACTGTTCCATAAAGACAATGTCCCTGACTTGCTAATCATTTAACTGAAAACACTTATTCATCTAGGCATGCTTACTATCTACTGAGCAGCTACAGAAGAGAGAAATGGCTCGTGCTGTTTCAAACAGAACCAGGCCTGGGCTGTGGATCTGATGGGTTTTATACAAAATAATCCAGCAGAATGCATTTGGTTTCTGACCCAGCCACAGCCTACAGGACACGGGGTGACAGTAACAAACCACCTGGTGAGACATGAGGCTTCTGAAACACAGGGTTAGTCTAACTTCAACCACAGCATCCTCATGCCAAATAACCAACTTCAGAGACAGCGGCCGAGAGGGCTTAGAGGGAAAAAACTGGGCACTGCATTTGCAAGTCTCAGTGCACACATCTAAATTTGTCAGGCTTAGCTCTCTGGTTACTGCAATCTGATGAAATCATAGTCAATTATAAAATAATGAAGTATAAGTAATTACAAATCATTACACAATGGCACATCAAGCAGCACTCGGTTCTGCAGCACTTCTTGTAACTGCCACACAGCTACAAGTCCAGGGATGAAACCACAACAGCATCTCCATTTTCGGGGGAGCACAAAGTCAGGGTCAGCAGGGAAACATAGGAGCCCCCAGTCCCACTGCTAAACAGGAGCAAAAATTCCAAAAGACAAATCATTTTGTTTTCAAGCAGTTCTCATCTTCGATTTCACAAAGAGAAAACCAGGCTGAGTAAGTTATTGCACTGAGCCACGGAAAGGATGACAACTCAGTAGCTGCTGCTCAGTGCCACAACAGGCCCTACATAACCTACAAGTCCCTCCAAGAGCAGCTCTACTGCTGCAGGAGCTCTGTGTAGGTATTTTAAAATCACACTAGATCAGGAGTCTGCAGGAAGTCTTCTCAACCTGCCTGTGAGTGAGTGCACTCCTTGCTATTGCCTCGCACTAGGTTAAAACCCCCGGAGACAGGGCAGGACACTGTAGGAATATGTTTGATATATAGTTGGATTAAATAACAACCTAATATATCAAACATATCACACAGAGTCCTGCAGGAAAAGGCATCCAGGTTTGATTCACCTTGGGGTAAAAAAAGGAGCAGCTGCTGGAAGCTGCCAGCAGGGAACTCTTCTGAGAGCTGTGCTGGGAGCGTTGGCCCGCGGGAGGCACGCGGAGACACCAGCAGTGTGGGCAGCTACAGCAGGGCTCTCTGCTCTGGGACCTCAGCACTACACCTCTGCTAAGAGTGGCTCTTCCTGTATTAGCATGCAGTTTTTATCAGAGGAAATATTTTTCTTCTTCAGAATATGACTAGTCTTGGGGGCTGTTATTTTATAGCACATGTGCGTGATAGGAGGAAACTTGTCTGCACTGCAAGACACCTGAACCTCCAGAATGGAAAGCAGCAAAACAGAGACCATGCCCAGGAGAAACAAGTGTATTTAAAGAGAACTGACAGCCAAATCCTTCTTAATAAACAATAAGGACCTCATTGCTTCACAGATCATTTCCCACCTTGAACACAGCAAGGAGAACACTAAACAGGCTTTATGTGATGAGAGGAGTAACAACACCTGCTGGGGAGAGTCCTGGAAGTTCTTGCAAGACACAGGCTGAGCAGGCAGACAGGGCCAGAGGGGTGTCAGTGGGGCCAGCAGGCTCAGCATCTTAGGAGCACATTTGCCCACAGCCAGATGAGCAGGATGGAAAGCAAACAGACACACAACACAACAGAACATGGGCAGCAGTTGGCAGCTCTGTGTCTTACTGCAAAGTGTTCTCTGGGCTAAGATGATTCCCAGTGCTGGAAAATGAAGATGCCTCCTGCTGTTGGTGTCAGTCTAAGACATCGAGGGGGGTGTGATAGGTACAAAAATATGAAGAGAAAACAAGGAAAAGAAGAAATAAAAAAAACTCCGAAAGTTTATAGAAAAATTAAGATAGTGGAATAGATTAGAAAAACTCTACCTTCAAATATTGGTTTCTTTCTTTAGAGGTAAAAGACAAACTGGAACACACAAAGATGAAAATTTCAAGCCTAAATCAAATGACTCCCACTCCCTGCCCCAATAAAAAACATCTACCCAAAATCAGAGAATCAGCCACCAGGTGGGTAAGGGCTCAGATATGGATTTCCTGCAGGCAGATATCCTAATGCTGCCAACTCAGGACTTCTCTGCAAGCTCACTGGGTGATGATGTTAACCAGAGCAGGATATTGGTCTGGCTAGATCAGGTCTGTCCCACTGCAGAAGGTAACGACTCCTGCATTTCACATGCATAAGAAAAAAATGATTGTATGAACCCTCTTACCTAGTCTAAGCACTCACAGTACAACAGGCATGTTGAGAAAGATGAGCATCAGAAAGACAGAGCCTGTTCAAGATAGGAAATCCTACTTTGGGAGGATACGAGCTACAAGTCTTCAGCAGAAAACATGGTATTTGAGCAACTCTGTGATCCTCCTAGTACCCTTTGATGTGGATTAAATCCACACTGTGAAAGAGAATAAACATCTGAGAAGGGAACAAATGGTTGGACATGAATTTCGGTTTCAGAAAATGACAAATAAACAGAGCAATAAATCACAGGCAGACTGGACACTCCAATTAACATGCTGAATGAGGAGCAGGTGTGAGATCTGTATTCACTGGGAAACTCCAATGACCCTGGAGTGGCTCAGATGTGGAAGGAAACTGCTCCATGGTTACCAAGCAACCTACACAAGCTATTGTGCAGCGACTGTATAGGAAAGGTGATGGAGGACTCTTCCTCCCCTCAGACTCAGCCTGTGTCCTCTGCTCTGCAGAATCCCATCAGAAAGGACCATTTCTCTTACAAACAAAATGGATGCACTTGTCACAAAATGCAGGAGAAAGAGCATTTCTTACTCAGGAACTAATTTCTTTGCAATGCTAAACTGGGAGAGGCATGTGGCAGGGACTGAAATACCAAGAACTACTTCATCTGATGCTCCTGAATACCAGAATACTACCCTGCCCCAAAACAGTCACTCCACCCTGAACGTGCCTGAGGCTGTGCTCTCCAGAAAGACTTCTCTTAGCTTTACTGCAGGGACAGTTCTGCACCTATAATGCAGCATAAACAGAGAACAGATACATAGTTCTTTCCTGAAGTCAATTACACAGCCAAAGCATGATTTTCATTTTAAAGAGACACAGCTTGGGAGTTTCTTCTAAAACCTGCCTGCTGTTCCACACTAGGCAAACAGCAGCAATTCTCTGGGACCTTCTCATCAGCTGTGCAACAGCTGTGAGGAACAGAGGGTCACAGAGCCCTCCACTGCACACCACAACAGCTGGCTTGGTGTTATGATATATTCAGAGACATTTGAGGTGACCTGGCAACATGCAACACTCCTCGCTACCATAATGAACTGCAAGTGAAATTTTTTTCAGGAGGATTGCACAGCGATGGTTCATACCACACATCTGATTTGATACTGGAGCAGCTACTCCAGCATGGCATAAAATGCTATGGTTACAGTCTCAGAAACTCCTGCAGGTCTTTTGCATTCTGCTGAATCCCTTCTGTGTTGCTGCTGCATTCTCCTGCTACACTACACAGACTCAGTGAGACAAAGGGTCTTCAGAGGAGAGCAAATGAGAACAGCTTTTCACTGCAGCAGAATGTGTTTGGAAACAAATGTAAATAATCAACAGTAATGATACCATAACTCTTGACAGCATTTCTAACATTTGGCTTTTCTTCCTTCGCTCATGGCTGGTGTTTGACTCTCCCTGAAAAGCACCTTTGTACCCTCTACATTCAGGGAAGTCGTCCAGGACAGTGCCTAGTGGCACTGAGACACACGAGGTTGGATTGCTTATACCATTATTACAGACAGTAACAAAGCACACACCAAGATCTGGGCTATGTGCACCCTCTGCTTATTAACCTCGAAGAAACAACTGGGATGGACACTCACCTTGGGCTTGGCTCTTGGTTTCAGCTGCTCTAACTTCTTTGCTGCAGCCTCAATTGATGCTGCAGCCCCTAGCAGCTCTGTCTCTGCAATAACTGTTGGGTCTTCTGGATCCACCCACTCTGTCCCTGAGATGAATGGAGACAAAGACAATAACTTCAGTGTCACTGTGAGCTGCCATTCAAACAGGATGATTTGCAGTCACACTTCAAGTGGCAAACACAGCACACACGTCTCAGGAAGCTGATTCTAGTACTGTAGTGGCCTAAACCCACTGTAGTTCATGCCACAGAGCAAAATGGAAAGCAGAGGGGAAGAACGTATTTAGCAGGATTATTCTGTCATGAAAATGAAAGAAATACTTAAGAAATACGTAAGCAAAGCAGCTTCAAACAGGCAGCTGTCCATCCTGGGGACCAAACTAGCTGTCACTCAACTTGTGTTCATCAGAGCTGTTACTCAGGTGCTTTTCTGGTGGCTGTGAGAGTTCTACAGACTAAACTTCCCAGTAAATGTAGTAGCCGATGTACCTTAACAGTAGTGGTCTAATATTTACTGACACCACCCTTAGAATGTATTTGTCTCATTTAAAATGTGTAATGTTACTCTAAGAGTTCACGTGTGTCACTGGAGAGTAATTTTACTAAGCAAGTCAGTATCTGAGAAAACATCCCTCACCTGTCACAAGGACAGTGAACTTCTGCTCAGCAATAGAATCCATCACTTATTTGAGTGCTGAGTTTGCATTTGTCCACAAGTTATTTCATTGTAGAGTTCAGGAAATAATCTAGAGCACAATTTTCATTATTTCATTAACATACTTTGTCAGGACTGGGCCCAGAAACAGGACTGCAAACACCACAGACCTAAAACTGACATCACTGCTAAAGGCTGAGTGTGGGGTCAGTAAGATCCAACTGTTACTGGAAGCTGGAAAGCAACTATCACTGCAAAGCAAAGGGCTTATTTTGCATGAACAAATGGGAGCATGAGGAAAAGAATCAGCCACCAGCTCAAGAGGAGTGATAATGTATGTCATCTTCTGCCTCTGCTCAATGGCTCCATCCTCAAAGGCCACAGGACTTAGAGATGACTTATGACTGAGCATATGAAGTGGAAGAGGGTCAAACAGACATGTTTAGCAACAGTGGACAAGTGAATGAGTAGAGAAATAGAAGAATGGAAGTAGGTGGCACAAAGACACCTAGAACGTACTAGAAGGGGTTTGGTTAGTTTTTGGGTTTGCTTTAAAGTACAAAAATGACAGATCATTATCTCCAGAGTAAAGAGCACACCATGCTGGTAGCCAGGCTCCTCAACTCACCTTTCATTGCTTCTGCTGACTGGATGAGCTCTGTAACAGCACCAGCAACTCGCTTGGAGAACGAGGCCAACTGATGCTTTAGCTCTGGAGTTGGTTTCTGGAGAATCTAGAGACAAGGATAGAATGAATACTGAAGGTTAGGAAGGATCCCAGAGAATGCTGGAAGATTCCACAGGAAGCCACTTGAAAGGAACCACTGGGCATCCCTGAGGCTGATCACTGACTTAAGCCTCTTCCAGGAACATCAGTATCTCACAAGTGTTAGTTCAAACACGTTACTGTTTTCTACCAAGCCAATAGCAACAGAAGAACAATCTATTATGGGATAATTAATACGTTAGGTGATAGCTGTACATGGCCAAGAAAAGCCAACTGCCAGCGGAATGCACGAGTTGGGCTCTGAGAGCACAAGTTTTGTGCAGAGCTCTGGGGCTGTCATGTCTGATGTGCTAGAGAGCTCTCTGTGGAGCAGTGCTGGCTGGGGATTTGGGGATGGCACTGAGGAGGTGCAACTGCAAAAGGCACAGAACTGTGTCTTCAGAAAGGTTGTGCAACCTCCTTGGTCTGGGGGACAAGCCTGTGCCTCCTATGTTTGCTGTTCGTGGGGTGTGTAAAGAATACTGCAATGTCTTATTTTAATTTCTCTGTCCGGGTCCAGATCCCTATTGCCTCCAGGTCTGGCCCAGAATGCAGTTCCATTGAAGTACTTCAGTCTTCCTCCTGTCTCACAGTTGGAGCAAAGTACTGAGTTCCCTTCAGTTTGCTTTTCCTGAACAACAACTGTTCAGAATCGTGGGACAAACTGAGAAAAACGTGCCACTGGCAGTCACTGCAGAGAGAGGGCAGAGAGATCCCTCTCCTGGGAAGCAATCCAGCATGTGCTGACTCCTTACCAGGAGAACATGCTCCAGGAGTTCCAAGTACCCCAGAGTACACTCTGTCCCGAAGCGCAAGGCTTTCCCTCGAACTTCTTCGCTCACATCTGGGTGATAGGAGGCTTGCTGAGGAAACAAAACTCCATTAGCACCCAAAACTACTCCCACAAGAGGAGGGCAGCACAGAGAAACAGGGGAAAAAGGAGGGAAGAGATTTTTTTATAGTGTGCAAATGACATTTGAGCCTGAGGCCCAGCTGTTTCAGTCATGAAGTTGTGAGCAAACTGTGCTCCAGGAGCAGCAGAGCTCCAGGTCTGGGAATAGCACTGCAAACACTTTTCCTTCTGTCAGCACATTCTCCTGTCTGGGTGAGCATCTGCAGCCCTTCTTAGGGTCCTTCCTCAGGTATTTCCAACAGAAATACTACAGGTCAGTTTTTGAAAGCTGTTTAGCTCAAGCAAGTGCAGAAAACACAGCACCATTATTTTTAGTGCCAACGCAAAACAGGTTTGTGAAAGGCATAGAAGAAATTGAGCAAACCCACGGGTTTGGTTAGGGGGGGAAGGACTGCTGAAAACAGACCAGACTGATTCCTTTCACCACTCCCTTCACTGGGAATAGTGAAATCCTATTTGTGACCATGGGATTATTTGTATATTCTACTACTTGCACAGATTGTTTGTCTTCCAACTTGGAAATCAGGAAATTTCAGCTCAAATCAAACTTCTCATTTTGCCAAAAGAGAACAGTCAATATTAGTGCAGCTTTTTCGTGTGTGAATAGCACAGAAATCCTTCCTGAGAGACGTTCCCCTACCATTATTGTCATCATTAACTTGCTCCTACGAAAGGCAGAGAATCAACCCAGAGAAACCAAACAATCCCCGTGGATTCAGGGGCACACACAGGGAGGGATCTCTACCTTGCAGGCTGTCAGCATGTCAGCCACGGCCTTGCGGCTCAGGTTGGCCGTGGCGATCACATCCTCCTGGCGACACGAGTTCCCAGCAGCCACCGCTTTGGCCGTCGCCATGGTGATGCCTTTGGTCATCCGGATTGACTCTTCAGGGGATGATGTCTTCTCTGGAACCTCGCTGGACTGGAACACCTAGAAGTGAAAGCAGAAGCAAAGCCTGACACTGTGCAAGCCACGGGAGAGAAGCAAACAGCAGCAGCCTTTGAACAGCAGGAAATGAGGAACATGTCTGGAGTACTTGAACATCATTCTGCTTGCCATGAGTCTCGATCCCATCAGCCTGATCACCTACACACACCAGGGACCAACATGCTGAGGGAAGGATGCAATAAAAGAGGTTAACCCGTTCATCTCACATGCCATTTAACCACCCAGATGACAGTTGTTACAGCTGTTCAGTGTTTCAGGATGAAAAGAATTACTATTCTTTTCATTATATCCTTTTTTCACCCTCACTGCTCTCAGGCTGGTCTGCTCACATGAGATCCTGCCCCAGCACAGGCTGTGCCCTCCCAGGAGCCTCCTGATGGCACAGTGCAGTTCAGACCGAGAGCATCACTGAAACTTTCAAATGTCTCACAAAAGCAGAGGTGGGGCCTGGTCACTTAGGCTATATTTAGTCTCCCTCAGCAAACTAAAGCTATCATTTTGCAAGGTGAACTGTGTGAAAATAGCTCAAGCTATCTGGCAGCACACACTGCTGTGCCAACCCCGGGATACAGAACTGTGGGAAGAGGTAGGCACGAAGAGAGGGGCAACCTCACTCTGAGCTTACATTTTCCCAAGCCTTAGTCTGTATTTGCCTGCAAATTGCCCCTGTAACTGTGCAGGGGGAGTCTGGAGTGCACAATTCATCAGGAGAGGTTTCCTGACTACACACAGTGCAGCCTAAGCAGCCTAGTGGTGTCAGAACACAAATGTCTGGACAGAGACAAGCCTGGCCCATCCCCTGCTCCTGGCTGCAGCAGCTTCTCACTTTCTCTCTCCAGAAATGGAAGTGATGTTTAAAAATGAACTCTCGTTAAATATGTGACAAACATCCCTCAGCATTGCTCAGATTCAGTCCCTGGAGCTCTAAGTCAAACCTGAGGCATTTTCTTAAGCACAATACCAGGAAAACAATTGTCGTGGTCTAACGTCTGCTTCGGAAGAGAATTCCACACTACTGTTAATTCCTGCCAGAAAGAATATCAGGTATCTGGCCACGTATCACTGGTGGTGTCATTTCAACACGAGGGAAAACAGAAACAAAGGAAGGTGCAGATGCAGTGTGGCAGTGATGCTGGGCAGACACTGCCAAAATCAGGATCAACAAATAGAGTGAGCAGCATCAGGGGCAGGAAAGAGTATCTGCAGCGAAAGCTTAAGGTCTGAACAAGCAGCAAGGAGCTGCTTTCAGACTCGTGCACGACAGTAGCACCTGCAATCTCACGGGGGACGGGTCTGTGTGAGGGAGGTCGGGGGAAGGGGCACTGCACTGCAGAGCTCAGAGAGGACTGGCAGCAGGGGCAGAGCCAAACTGCAGCAGTGCACGGCGAGGCATCGCCCCAGGAGGGCAGGGCACAGCCTCTGCAGGGCTCAGAAACCACCACCTCAGGCTGTTTGCTCCCTACCGTCAGCTCCTGTTTGATGTACTCAATTGTGGCCTCAAGAGCTCTTGTCCCTCGAGTAGCTTCATCTTCTACTGCTTTGACAGTCTTCAGGAGCGACGTGACATTTGTTACCATCACCTGGAGAAGAAAGAAGTGAAGACAGACGTACATGATTCCTTCCTCCCATTTGTCAGCGACAGCAGGGTATGAAGCAAGGCAAATCAAGCACTGTTACTTCTAACAGGGCCTAAGAGACCTCATCACCTGTACTTGGCACAGGGCTATAAACCAAATCCTGTGCTGTCCAGTTTCCAAACGCTACCCGTAAGGTGCAGCAATGCTCACAACTAACTGCACAGAGATACTAACTCAAGTGTGAGTGTTCTGGCAAAAAGATTTTATCAACCAAATGGAACAATCCCAATTTATACATAGTATCTTAGTGTCTTCTCTTCCTGCACATCTCACATTGCAAGCTGAAGGAGACATGAGTCAAGGTGTGGCATTTCTTTTGGGGATGTATTCAGTACATTCTCTGCAATCAGATAAAACCTCAGGGGAGAAAGGAGCCAAACACCAGTCCCAAGCCCAAATGAGGACAACCAGTGCTACTGTTCCCATCACCAACCCACTAGTTCTGATGCAGAACAACCTGATCATCACTGCAATCATCACATCTTTGCTGCACCCCAATGTGGAGACACAACCACAGCTACAGCAAAAGAGACACAAAGCTCAGCTTCTTGGCAACTGTGACTTCAAACACAGAGGCCTCTTCACAGTGGGAAGAGCCAAGAAGCCACTTTTCTCGACTATCTGAGCTATTTTTAAGTAGTGCCTCAACTGTTATCGTGTGCTCTGAAAGGAAAAGGCACAGATCTCACAGGCAAGCAACAGATGTGAGAGTGAGAAAAGCTTCCAGCCAAGCAAGGAGCTACTACAACACTCTCAATGTGAAAACAGAAGCAATACCACCTAGATCTCCACATCTGGAAATATTTTGTAGATATGAATCCACATGATCCCTGTGAGGCAAATGCAATAATACATCTCAGGTGAAGGGAAAATAAAGCTAAAGATATCACAAATATGGTAGAGTCTCTGCAAGTTTTGAGCTTTGATACCTATGGACTTACTGGAAAGATACAGGAGAGAAGTGCTAGAAATGCACAACATCCTACCATAGAGCTCTAGCAGATTTTCCCTCCCCCCTCCTTCCTCAGACTGTGAGGTGTAAATAAGGAGACCCACTCCTTCCCCTGAACATTCATCATTCACAATGCAGATAGCATTTTATACTGGACAAATCGGAGTCTGTGGCACTATGAAAGCAGAGCCTGCCTCAGACACAGCCCTGCAAACAAAAGAAGTTTCTCTTCAGAAGATTACAGTCCTGCCATCCCCAAAAGTCATCTGACAGCCTACAAAAACTGATAGTGTCACTGAAACTCAATAGCACCTTCTTATTTTTCCTTGTCATCCCAGGATGATAATGAAACACAGAGATGAATTTTTCAGCCAAGCTTCACACGTTTATCCAATGTGACTGCACAGATACTTCCAAATAAAACCTAAGGAGAATTTTTCAGCCAAGCTTCACACGTTTGTCCAATGTGACTGCACAGATACTTTCAAATAAAACGTAAGGCTAAGGTTTTACCTTGGCAGCACCTTTCAGCTGGTACATGGATGGATCATCTGCTGGTTTGCTGGCAGCTCCTTTGGTAGCACCAATGAGATCAGAAAGGGCCTTTGCAACATCCTTGATAGCATTGATGAGGACAACCTGTAAGAATGAGAAACCGTTGTGAGGCTCAGGCAAGAAAGGGCAGTGTGCATGAGGGTGTGATTTTCAGAACACAGGTAAAAAATGTCTACTAAACAGGACCACCCTCCCACCACCCCAGTGCAACACAAACTGCTCTGGAAGAGGAAAAGCCATGCTGATAGCTACAGTATTTCATACACCAGTCTCCTCAACCCAAGCTCAAAGACAAGAGTCCGAGGCAAGGATTGCCTGATTATTTCAGGGTATTAATGGAATCCTTCTCTCCTCCCAATCCTTCTCCTTTGCTCTTTCCACTAGTTGAAAATCAGATGTCAAAAGTATTTGGATGAAATTCAGAAAAGTTAATTTTAAGGAAAATGTGTAAAGATGCAGGAAAACGAGAAAGTTCAGGAAAATAAAAGGTAATCACTAGGAACAATCACTTCTCAATAACTGCATTTCTGCAGCACTGCAAGACAATCAGCCTCAGCCCTTTGTGCGAAGGCCCAACTAGTTCCACTCGAGGCTTTAAGCTCTTGATTGCATTCTAAAAATCCACTGATGCCTGAGCAAACCCAGGGAAGTCCCAGAGGCAGTGAGCCCTGTGGTACTGCCTAATTGTAGCAGTCCCATAAAGTTCCACCAACTGAAAACTGCCTCTCTTCTCTGTGAGAGTATCAGAAAAACCTTCAAGTGTCTCACCTGTGTTTCAGGATCATCGGATCCCAAGCTAGCCGCTCCCAACTTTACTACCTCAGCAAGCTGAGTGATGGTGTTAGCTGATGACTGAGCTGCTTGGGCCAGTTTGTCCTGACTTGAGGCAGCACCAGAAACCAACAATTTTGTGTCTTCAACTAAAGCTTTTGCTGTTTTCAGGATATTTTCCCTGTAGCAAAATAAGAGGAAGCAGGGCAAGAAGTGGAAAAGAAGAGGAAAAAATGTTTTCCAATGTTAAGGTGACTAACAGCTACATGACAGAGCTGATCTAAGCCATCATGCCAGTGTCCATCCACAATGTACCACAGGTGAGGGTGCAAGTTAAGAGCAAATGGAAAACAAAAGACAGGACGACTATTCCAGGAGCAGCACAGCACTCTGGGCTGGGGGAGGGCAGTGTACCAAAGTTATGCCCTCTGGAAAAGTTAGGCAGGAGAGCAGCAGCAGAGAGCACTGCATTTGAACATCAACAGAAAACCTGGCTGTGCTGTGAGGAAAGGACCAGCTGTGGAACATCCATATGAACCAGCACATTGTAAGGAAACTAAGGCAATAGTCTGTGAGAAAAGCAGCAGCAAGAGTGGCAATGGGGACAGAGAATGTGTCCTAGTCAGGGTCCCTCCCCTCCCCCAGCAACGTATGTGTTTTGACATGCCAGGACAACAAATCCAGACCAACATCTGGCTGAAATAAGAGATCATTTTGGAGTATGCAGTTCACAAACAAGTCAAATGAACTGACACCAGGACCATACTCAGGTAAAATGTCAGCCTGGAAACCAATGGCTCCTGTATGAAACCCTTGAACTTGCAGTCTGCAGAAACAGCACCAACTGAGCCACCACTGCATCTCTCCTCTGCCTGGAGCAACCGGCAAGGAGGGCAAGAAACACTGGCAGCAGGAGCTGTGTAGGGCAACCAGGCAGCCCAGCAGTCAGTCAGTCAGGCTGTGAAGCCTGGGTTTTACTGGAAGAGAAGGAACATTCAGATGCTGCAAATGTGTTAATGTGAAGAAAAATGCTGTGGGATTATTCTGTTGCAGATGCTGCTTGAAGGTTTAACAGAGCAGAAAGCACAGGCACTGCTGTGCTGCTCCCAGCACTGCTGTCCACAGCAGCATTAACCATCAGCAGGATCTGACAAGACAAACAGCCAGCCAAGGACAGCCCTGGAAAAAGGTATAGCGAAGATTCCTCTCCAGTGTCACAAACAGCTACTTTTTGCTACTGGAATAACAGCCGTGGTGGGCTCACAATGAGGCAGCTCGAGTAAAAACAACCAAAACCAGCCCAAGTCGTGCTACAGTTGCAGCCTTCTGCTAGAAGTGCTGTCACCAGATGTTCCTCAGCTTTCAGTTCCTTCATCACAGAAATAACCTAACTGAAGTTTGCTGACTCTGTCACTATCCCAATTTCCCTATTTCCCCCCTGACTCCACTGCCCCATGTGACTCTGTTCACAGGAGGGTGGAAGCACTGAAGTGTGGCAGTCCCTGCTGCCTGTTGCACCCTCCCACCCTCCCAGCTGCCCTGCCCTGCTCACCGGTGGTCGGCGAAGGACTCGTTGTTCTCGGCGTTCAGGGTCCCGGCAGTGGCGAACATGATGGTGGTGTCCAGGTCCGCGATGATCCCCGACACGGCGCTGGCTGCAGTAATACAGGCCTGAGTGCCTTTGTTCCCTGCCTGGAGGGCTGACAACACCAAGGAGACCTGGAACAACCAAGCAGGCAGTGACCGAAAGGAAGACTCACCATGGGAGGCCGAGTGAGCTCTTCACCACTGGGATCAATGATGGAAACTCATGTGCAATGACACTTTGCAAACTTGAACAAACCTTCCCCTTGACATCATTTGTTCTGTATGATGCACTAGCCATTTTGGCAACTAAAGGCTGTCTTGAGTTAAAGGGACTTAAGCTGCAAAGTCCACTTTCCAGACAGAATAAAGGGATCTGTGCATCACAGGATGGTGCACATCAGCTAAACCTTCCTTGGAACACAGGCAGAGGTAGTGCCAGGATAAATGTCAGAGCTTTTTGCCTAGCACATGCAAATAAATGTGGGTCTCATGCACCTCCAGAATTGTGTACAGTGCACTGATAGAAACTTAACATCAGAGAAACACAAGGCTGAAACCAGATACTAAACACAAAGCATGAGCAAGGGCTAATCAAGGGCTCATCTAGCACGTGCACTGCACTGCACACTTGAAGGAGGAGAAGAAGTTGGGGTAATACAGACAACATTGTACTAGAATGTGAAGTTAACCCTCCCACGGTTTCCTGAATCCAGTTTGGCTGGCCCAGCTCCTGTGGGAGCTCCATGGACAAACCCCTTGGGGCAGCACAGAAACTGTCTCACCTTTTCCGTGACAGCACGAGCACATTCTATCAACTCCCTCTTGGTGTAGCTGTCTGTAGGGCAAATCTGGAGAGCTCCAGCTTTTTGCACAAGAAAGATACATCCGTGGCCAAGTTCCTGCACCCGAGTCCTGATCTGGAAACCGATCTAGATGGCACAGGAGGTTCAGGGAAACAGGAAGAAAGAGCAAAGCAAATAAATAAATGTCATAGTGTGACAATAAAACGGAGAAACAGCCATTGTGGTGAATGTTTATCCCCCATGTTCTGCCCACAGCTACACTCTCTGCAGACACCAGGAAAAAAGACAGATGTAATACCACCTGTGCCAGAAGCACAACCCTCTGAAGGGCTCAGCCGTGAAACGGGAGCAGCAGTGACCCAGTGCCCAGGAAAGAGAAGGTGTAAGGCATGTACCTGAGTCAGACACACACCAATCACACATCAGACTCCACCACACCCAAACGCTGCTGCTCCCTCCTGCAGAGCTGTGCTGTCAGCAGGGGCTGAATTCCAGGGACATGTGATGGGAAAAGGTACACATTTACCCCACACTGCTCAAACTGGACCAAAATACATGTGACTATCTGGTTGTGAACCTCCCACAGAATCTCCACTCTCCAGAACCCACCACACACGTGAGCACTGGAAGGTGGAAAATTCTGCTGCTGCCACTTGCAATTTAGCACAGCCTGACGTCGGAAGATGCACAGTCTGACTAGAAACCTGTGACAGCTTTAGTACCTGCATGTACTTAGGCATACAGATGTGATTGGCATTAATAAATGAGCAGGAATCACAGCTGTTAGTATTACAAACGGAATTATTCCAACCTCAGGCAGAAAGCAACGTGCAGAAATGGTATTCCAATTCAACAACACTGAGCCAAGGGCAAGTCATTGCCTTCCATGGAGCTACTGACCACGAGACACTCCAGGAGTGTGTCAGCAGGATATGTAAGTACAGAGTCGAAAACTCTGGGGAGACCTTTTATCTAGACACTCTGATCCATCCAGAGAAGGTCAGACACCCTCTCCCCCTGTCTGTGCTCCACAACCAGAGGCACACAGGAAGGAGAGGGGCGAAAGGGTGACTGTAATTGAGAACATGCAACAACTCCAAGAGGGCAATGCAACTGAGGCAAACAGCCCATTTTCCTCATTCAGCACGAGGCACCTGAGAGTGCTTCTCCCACATCGTATCCTGACTGGCAGGTACAGATGATGTCCTACCAGCAAAAGATACTTGTGCTCTTTCCACTTGCCTGAATCTCACTTTCAGGACAAGAAGTTATACTTAAAATCACTCATGGGCAAGATACAAAAGCATATGTGTATCTGTAACATGTCAAACTGTGTGAGATTGAAGGAAGGTAACATAGTGAAAAATTAAGGGTTCTCTTGGCATTTGCAAGTTGCCTAAGTGAAAGCCCCAAGTAATTTAGGAGGTCCTGTCACTGTCTACAGAGTTGCCCACTATTACCCTGAGCTGTTTCTGAAGCTGGACAGAGGCTCTGACCAAGGGTTTCTGTTCTGTGATTGGGTATTTGTGTAACAAGGCTCGCCACCTTCGCTGTGTTCTCTACAGTTAACGACTGCCCATGGTAACAGCACCGAGTACAGAGAGTGGAGAGGTCTAAGAGCTGCAGACCTCCTCTGGTTCTGCCGTAGCCGCAGCCATTCGGCCCTGGAGAGCCAAATGCCCATAGTCACTGGTCATTTGCGATGCAAGTCCTCCCAACTCCTCCGGGTTAGTAACCGACTTAGTCATCTGAAAAAAGAACACAGGCGAGAGAAACAGAGAAATGACAGGCATGAGAATAACCTGTCAATGCACCCCAGATTAGAGCACACTCATCTCTGGCCACGCTGATACACCGGGGCAAACTGCTTGCCAGGTAAGGGACTCGTCCTCTGGCAAGAATTCTAGAGGAAACTCAAGCAAACATGCTGTATTAGAGTCATGGCAACTTGCTGGGCACACGGGGTCAAAGAGCAGCAGTTAGAGCTGGCAGTGCACTCTTTGACACAGCTCTGCAGACCAGGAAGGGAAGCAGGTTTTGTGTGGCACAGCCACCTGAGTCTGTCACAGAGGACACAACCTCCACCAGTCCCAGCTGGCACGGCACGGGGGCACGGAAAACATCTGAGGACTGACACAGAACACACCTCAGATGTGGGCACAGGATGGGGAAGAAATAGGCAGGACGACGCAGAACATCTCAGCAGAGCATTAGTACAAGTAACTGAATCTCCCTTTAGAAAAAGTCTACCTTGTGACAGGTATCTCTCCTGCCTCCTGCTAGCACAGCCAGAGAGCTCCACCCTTGGGACAAGACTAGCTTTAGACAAATTGATACTGTTTGTAGGTAGCAGAACCATCAACCTGCCTTGGCTGCAGGAGCAGATGACTCTGAGGAATCCTGTCTGTAGCATATATAACCAGTCCCCCCAACGCTCTCAAAAGCAAAGGAGCAACACCAGTACTCTTCAAAAGCAAATGCATTAAGCACTACTGTGAAACACGAGTCAGGAAACACTCGGTTCAACAGGTGTCATTTTTTACTTCTGTTAAACTCAGGAGAATCACAAGAAAATGCACAATGTGAACTGCTGATCTGCATTTGTTCATGAAGTGTTACAGGGCTCTGAAAACACTGATCTTCTTCACAGGCTGAATGACAGTACGTGTGAAAGGGTAACCTGAAGTCATTGATAAACACAAGGTGACATTTTAGCCCAATTAAATGGGGGAAAAAGCATGTAGGTGAAAAGTTTTCCTTTCATTTGTCCTCGAAAATGAGCCAAATAAAAAGCTTTGGTGTGGAAGAGCCACAGTACAATCCAGAGCTCCTCCTGTAAAGGACTCCTACTATGATCATACCACTAAAATGCAAGAATTAAATTGACAATCATCACTTCTTTTATACCACTACCCCTAAAGAGATCAGGTTATTGAAAAATCTGCTTATCAGAATTGTCACAACACTATGCAAATAATCCCATGTTCCTTATACACCCTGTTGTGAGCTGATTCCTTACCATTTCCTGTGCAGTTACAGCAATGGCTTTAGAATATTTCACCACAGTGGTCTGATAATCAACAAAGGTTCCCTTCGGATCCGGAGGTGTGCCTTCATCCAGCTGCAAGGAAGAGGGAAAAACATGGCATAAAAAAGTCATAACCAACAGCATACTTCACATGTAATAGCAAAACTGTATTATACATTCATCTTTCCAGTCTTCTTTCTCCCAAGACACAGCTGGAAACAGTGCCCTGAGATGTGTAGAGAGCAGCAAATACTTTCATGCTATGAACATGGAAGGCACAGAATGCACAGTGCAAAGTTTTTGAGCATGAGGTCCATTTCCCACACAAGGCCAAACCATCTGTAGTTCTCAGCTAACTTAGGAAGGTGCAATGGTTACACACCAAAATGTTTGTGCCAGAAGATAATGAGATTTCTTTAGGTGCTGAAGTCTTCAATCCTTAACTCACACCAGGAAAAGCCAATTATTTGTATTGAACTCATGAACACTTAGCAACTACACATCTTCAGCAGAATGTGTGACGAGGCACAGCAGAGCACCTCAGGCTTTGACATCACCTGCTCTGAAAGCAATTTGCTGCAAGGTTGGCCTGCTGGGCACTAAAGAGACCAATGTGAAAGACAAAGAAGAAAAGAAAGCAAAACTAAGAGGCTGCCTGGCCTAAGATGGCTGCTAAGTGCCAGCACTGACTGAGCAAAACTACTTTGCAGCAGTTCTAGTGACAGGCACTGTGCAGGCTGTAAACGTGAGCACCACTGACATCGCCCACGTCACTTTTATCTGACAATCTCCAAATCAAATCATCTTTCAGTTTCCTGTGCCAGCGTGCCATGACTGACCACTGCCAAATGGAACCAGCACCAGCTCCTCCAAACCTCTGCAATGTGGGTCACCTTCCAAGAGCAAAGCAAAAAAGGGGTCAGAATTTCTGTGCTCACCTTGGTCATTGCCTCTGCAATCGAGTCTACCATACCTCCAACCATGCCAACTTCACTTGCAGCCTCATTTAAGGTAACCATGATGTCATCCACAGCCTCCTTCATCAGCTGAGCAGCCTCAGTGATTGCATCATGGGTGTGAGATGCCTGAGAGACAAAATGAGCAAACAGATTGTCAAAGAACATCCTCTATGTAAAGTGATGTGTGAATCAGAGGGGTAAGAAATGAAAACAGTAACAGCACTGAAGGGTAACACTCGAGGAAAAAGATTATAAACAAAACACTACAGCCTGCCTCACCCCTGACTCCACACAGCCACCTTACCTTGGGGTTTCCTCCCCCTTCTTTGGCAGCATACAGCATCTGTAAGGCAGATTCTGCTAGTGTCTTGCTCTGGTCCAGCACAGTCATCTGCTGCTGATGATTTAGTGTCTTGGACGCCACACCAACCGCGGCTAAAACCAGGGGCTCAAAGTAACTCGCCAGCTGTGTTACCTACGAGAGCCAGAACAGCCATGGAAAGCATGAACCACATTTCTGCAGCGTAACAGAGGATACACAGACAACAGATGGAACTGCACTGGATTTGGATGGCTCTGTTCAGCCCTGGGACTGCTCATATTCGCAGCCTCTGCTCCCTAAGCTCCCAAACCACCTTCATCAGATTCCAGACCATACCTGGACGGTTCTTGGGCACCAGAGTAGGCACAGGGCAAACAGCAGAACAAATGGCATTCAGCTGGACAACCTGAGCAACTTCAGACAACATCCCCTAGCAAGCAGGATGAGGAATGTGACTCCACCCACATTTTAGCAATCCAAATTTGTTGTGTGGCTCTAAGGGCTGTTAAACTGAGAATCAGAACCACTGACAGTTGAGATGTTATGAAATATTCCATGGCTACACAGAGCTGAACAGAGTTACTCAGGTGTGACTCCAGAAGAGTCCTCGTGCTAACCTTATGATTCCTTTCTGGTACTGAGTGCACTGACGAGGAAAACTTGCATTTATTTTCCTCTGAAGAATATACCATAGGATGAGGAACTGTCACCAAAGAAACTGCTAAATCTTGTAATAAATCTTGCAATAATAATAATAAATATATGGCAAATAATGTATGTTTTTGGTATGTACATTCTCTGGCCCAAAATGTCAACCAGTTTATTTGGTCTTGCCTCTGAGTATCTGAAAATTCCAGATCTTTCAATGTCAACCAGTTTATTTGGTCTTGCCTTGGAGTATCTGAAAATTCCAGACCTTTCGTCATTACAAATGCTTTCTTCTGCTCTCTCACAGGAAGAGAAACTGCTATGAAGTGAGGATCTTCCCTGACACTCATCTGCCCCAGATTTCAGATGCCTTAGGAATGGTTTGACAGTACCTTGTGCCCCAGCTGAGCTGCCTCTCCGCGCGCCGCGGTGGCGATGGGATCGATGAGGTGCCCTATCTCCTGCACGACTGACGTCAGCTGCTCCTGGAGAGCCTGACAGAGAGAAACTGAGTTACTAGCACAGCTGAACCTCCCCGTGGCCATCCCCTCAGACCAGCCAACACTCAGTGTCCTGCTCCAGCAGGAGGCAGAACCCTCGCTGCCAGCTTTCTTTGTGGTCTTTTCTTCTCCTTGACCCTCTTTCAGCAACAGCAACCCTGAGACAGGCCTTCTCCTCTTCAGAGGGAACATGGGGGCATGTACTCTCTCACTGTAACGTGACCAACATCCCTCCAGCCCCACCCTGAGCTATTCCTGCCCTGACAGAGATTTAGTATTGCTGCTCCATCAGAAAACCAGCAGCAGCATTGATTTAAACACGAAGGAACACTTCTCAAAGCAGCATCAGAAAACCAGCAGCAGCATTGATTTACACACGAAGAAAGACTTCTCAAAGCAAAAAGCAGAGCACAAGAATGTAAAGCTCCACTGCAGACTTCGAAGCTAGCAGGACAAATCAGCACTGCTCTGTGCCTGCTCTGCCCTCACCTCCACCGAGATGTCGTCCCTGGTGGCCAGGCTCTGGCTCACAGCAGCGAGGGAGGCCTGCTCGATGTCTCTGATGCACCTGTTGATGCCATCGATGGAGAAATCACACTCTCGCTGCCCTGGGGCCTTGTCCCTGCAAGACAGGAGCTGAACTGAGCCTGCAGGGAAGGTGGAGGCTCTCCTGAGTGCACACCGCGCTACCTGACGGCACATAGAACACGTGGGACAAGAGCAACAAGGGCCAAAGTTGGTTTGGTTCTGCCTAGAGGATTCTGACATCTGCTCACAGTACTCTGCACACTTCCATACACATACACACACCCTGCTCCTCTCTTAATAATCAGACAGAAAAAAAATGGTTGCCTCAGAAGGAAAAGCTGCAATTCGACCTCGGGATGGCCAGACTGGCCCAGTCATAAAGGTTATGATGAAAACATAACAGACACCAGGAAAAACCATCTCTGTACAGTGAGATCGACTGTCTCAGAAAACAATTCCTCAGGTTTTAGGTGTTCTGTTCAGACCCAGGTACCTTTTGCCAAGGATTATTTTCCAATACTTTGTCCTGCCATGCAGTGTGCTATTGCAGTACAATCAGTATCAACGACCAACAAAACTGGAAATACTCCTTAGTTCGCTCTCCACGCCATTTTGATTTAATCCATACAAAGAGATTAAGTATAGAACCGTGCTTTAAAATTTTCCTTAAGGGACAGACAGGTTTAGTCCAAAAAAAGAAGAATATTCACTTCTTGCTACAGCATTTTTACAACTACTCAGAGAACACGACAGCAAATACACAGCAAATAGACAGCAAAGGTAATTTATAACGTGGCCTGACCCACCTTAAAACAAATAGGAAAAAGAAGCTGTTTCCCATGTATGCCATGTTGGTACATGATCTGCATGGAGGTAAGTTTAGCTACAATTTTCATTTTCTACAGCATTCGCTCTTAGGTTTAGCCTGAAGTGACTCAGAGGTGGAAGCAGAGAAGGAGAGCAGAACACAAACACAGAAGAACTGTGCTGCAGGATGCTGCAGCCACCAGTCAGGACTCAACACCAGTGTGACTGGGGAGACACTGAGACCACGAAGAACCTCCCGCAGTGGAAAACAACACGGGGCTAACGGCACAGGGTCCCTCGCTCGCGGAGCACCTGCTCCACTGTTACTGCCGTTTGTCACTACAGAAGACATACCTGATGGAGGTGATAAGACTCTTGATGGAATCTGAGACTGTGTGGGAATGCCCAGCCAGCACAGACCAGGTGGGAGGGTCTTTGGGGTTGATAGCCAGGGAACGAGCAGTTTTGATCAGCAATGAGGAGCTCTCCAACATCGTCCTGGCAGAAACTAAAATTGGCTCCTGTGCTCGTGACCCCTGTGGTCAGAAAGGCACAAGAACAGAAAGAACACTTAAACAATTGAGTTTGTCCACACTTTCTGCTCCTGAAAGTCTATTTAACAGCATTAAAATGGAATTATCATTTCTTCCATTGTACTGTTACATTCACAGATAGTCAACGTGGAAATAGCCCTAAAATAATCACAGTCCAACCACATTCTCTTCAACATCTCAGATCTACAAAGGCTCCTTCCAGCTGAGAAACAGGAGAGAATGACACTTGGCTAGTTGCAGAACACAGAAATATCACTGCAAATACTCTCCTTGCCATGGATGTCACAGTCTCCGACGAGTGTGCTCTCTTGCCTGGAGTTACTCAGTTGGGCCACTAGCTCAGGGTGATGACTGATGACTAACCGGGTCATCACCTCCACATCTGTTCTACTGCCAGCAAACTGGTGAGCCCAGGGGCAAGAGACATGGGGACATGCTGAGATTTCCCTCACAGCCCCACAGCTGTAAGGCTGCAACCATTACTGTGCCACCTGGTACTGCCACCCAGAACAGAGCCTGACAAGGCAGGAGCCAGCATCTGGACAGTGGTAACAACACACCACCTCTACTTTGAAGCTTTTTGAAGCTTGAAAGATTTATTTTTCTCTTTTTCCCCCAAGAAAAACTAAACCAAACCAAACCAACAAGCAAAAAACACATGGAGAAAAAACCCAAACAAAAAACCCCCAGCCAAACCAAAACAAATCCGTGATTAGTTGCTTCAAATTCTACTCTGTTGCAGTTACAGGGGTTGAGGATAGAGAACTCTGGGGGAAAAGGGAAAAAACAGCAATGTCCCTCCAATGCTTTCTGGAGCTAATTTGGTTCCACGTGCCAAAGCTGCTCTGGAGGGGGAAAAGGGATGTTTATTGCTGCGAGGCACTGCATCCAGCTCCCCAGACAGGCAAGTCACCTGTGCTGCACTGCTCTGCCAACAGGAGACCTGCAGCTCTCACTGCAGCCCAAAGGTTTTACCCTACTGGTGCAAAATTCGAGGTCAGAGGTTAAGCAGAAGAGAGCAGAACGCCCTGCGGAGCACCAGGAATGCAAGGAAACGTTTTGGGTTACGTCTCTCTGCTCCCTCTCTCCCAACACACGATTAATTCAGTGTTTTCAGGGTTTGGAGGGTGGAAGTGCAGCATGTGCCTCACCTCACTGCTGATCTGTGCTGGTATGCTGACAAACTCTGGATTGGAAGCAAACGCTGTCAGGTTTTCCACAGCTTCTATCAAAGGGGCAGTGGCAATTCTGCACTTGTTGCGGTTCTCCTCAGAGAAATCTCCATCCAGTGCCTGGAAATGAAACCAACATTGAGCTCTGCCTGAAAGGGCTTCTCAGTAAAACCGAGGGGAGGTGGTTTAATTGTTCCTGATTTTAAACTGCTGCATGTTTATGGTACTCGAGAGCTGCTCCACAAACTATGCTATTGAACTCTCAGGTGTGTCTTTCTTTCCTTAGCTGGTTATTGACACTAAACTTTAAACTGCTGCTTTGTTTCAAGAGACTGAATAAAAAAATCTCTAGATATTGAGCAACTTAACATCCAGTTGTTTGCAAACTGCTCTCAAGGTGCACACTCACTGAACACATCAGTGCTGAGGGGTCTCACACTGAAGGGGCCAAGTTGCCTCTCCTACAATTCATACTGCCCAATTTTTTCCATCTTGACCTCAGCAGTTACACCACTGAATGTGTTCTCCACTTCAGGTCTTCAAATCTGTAATTTCTGATTTTTTAAACCAAACATATCTGAGAAGGTAAAAAGATTCTCTAAGTCTTCTGATTCTGCCTCAACAGGGGGAAAAAAAGGAAACCCGAACCCCACTAAAATCACACTGGAAAAAGCAAGCACAATGAAGCAGCATTTGTACCTTGATGGTTTTAACCAGGTTAGCAGTGCTGTTTGCAACTTCCTTGGCAGACTGCACAAAGTGTCTCTTGGCAACAGGATTTGCAGTTTTGGACGAAGCAATGCGACAAGCGTTGCACAAAGCAGAAGTATGTTTGGCCACAATTGTGGCTGCTGATAACACCTGGAAAAACACACGGCACACAACAGGCAGAAGGTCAGAGGGCTGTGACACTTTTTTTGCTGGAGTTCTGCAAACCTGCCATTCAAAGCCATGCAGGTTTCCAACCCAGCTCCTGTGCCTGGACACAAACAGAGTCACCCTGCTGACAGGACAGCCCTGCAGTCACCTGTGAGGGGCTGCTGGCTGGATCCACCAAGTTCTGACAAGCCATCTGGATTGCTTGGTTGGCTCTGGCAAACTGAATCGGGTCCACCAGGCCCTGCTGCCCAGCCTGACTGTTGGGATCCGAGATACCCACCAGGTACGCGGCCTAGACACGGAGAAAAGCAGAAAACAGCCCTAAGAAATGATGCCAAAGCCCTCCTGGGTCTTTGACAAGCTTGTCACGCATCATAACACACAGAAATCATCCTGCAAGTATAATTAGCATTTATTTTTAGCAACAAATCTCCAGAATCCACTGAAACCCAAGTGCAGTTTCTGTGGATCTGCACAGAGCACACCGTGGAGTACAAGGGCATCATTTGCTTGACCACGAGGAAGTGTACCTCAGATTTACAAACCTACAGCATGAACTTGCAAAAAATGAACACACACTTCACAGAGTTCAGTAGCTTACCTGAGCTGCTGCCTCTGTGAGGCCACAGAGAGCCTTGGATGCAACCCCAACACATTCTCCAAAGACTAAGAGATCTCCAGTTTTCGCGTTCTGGGAAATGCCTGCCATGGATTCTCCAAGAACCTCAGAAATTAAAAAACAAAGTTATCTTCCAAATATCAATCCCTACCACGTAAAGGCAAGTGATTCCTGGCCTTCAGCCAGTTCTGGCTCACAAACTGCCCAGAACTGATTTCCAGAATTTTTAGCTGGTTAATGACTTCACTGACTTGGGCACATTGGATGCAAGATGACATGGACACCTGTGGGGCACTTTTTTTCTGAGAAGGAGGGCTCTGAGACAATTCCATCATTTCAAACAATGCAGACACCCAAGGCTAAGCCTCTGAGCAGGATGGACAGCACGGCGTGACTGAAAACAATGAGGAGACTCCACAGAGATTTTCTGATGTGCTGCAACGTTTACACTGCTCAGACACCTCTCTACGCCGCTGTGCACAGAACCATACAATGGTATCCATTGCCAAGCCTCCCTTTCAGGCTTTGGGCTTTCCCAACATTGGGGATGTATTTTGACTGCAGCTAAGTGTGATGTGCTGTCTAACACAGAGGTGTCCCCAGTCACCTAATGAAAATTTCTGACTGGGGCAATTTGCCTTCTAAGTGACCAAAAACTGAGATCACCTGTAAGGGACCCATCTCAGGCAGAGCCTTAGCATGGATTGCAGCAAACATTTTAGCTATAAACACTGACTGCATCGGCAACATATCTGATATGCACGTTCTGAAAATCACAACACTGTACAACTGGCACAAAGGTGGGGAAAAGAAATTACCTTGGAGTTCTCCATTACACCCTCAATGCAGTCAAAATAGGAGAGATCGCTGACGGGTTCGTTGGGGTTATCCAGCATCCCCTTTACAGTCTGAGACAACAGAGCAAACTCTGGTTACTGACAGAGCCTGAAACACTGAGCCAGCACAGACAGCACAGCAGCACTCAGAGCTGTCCCCAGCTGCACTGGGACTGGGCACTGCCCTCACCCCACGACACGCTGTGCCCAAGGAACCTGTGCACGGACAGGCTGCTGAGCTTCACCTGTGTCTGTGAGGAGTCATTTCTGGTTGCTTAGTGATGCTCAGCTGCCACCAGGAAATCTGGTTTTCTGTCCCTTGCCAACAGTCTAACACATCTTTTCAGTACTGTTTTAAATTTCAGTAATGGAATTTAAAGTGCAATAGGAAAAGCAGCTACGATTTGCTGAGCACTGTCTAGAAACACAAAGGCTACCAAACTAAGAGCATGTTCACCTCCTAACTGCCAAGAGATTCCCCCAGCACAGCTCCCTCTGTCAGCAAACCACCTAGACTAGCTGGGCTGCATTTCATTCTCTGAGGCAATTCTGAGTCCTGAAAATAACAACGTGACAGTCAGTCACACATTCATGAAGAAGAATGAATGCAGTTAGGTAGTAAAGCTTGGAAAAAGCTGCTAAGTGCAGGAGACTAACTCTTCTATACATACAAATATCTGCAGCATGCCTTTTTCCAAGTTTGGAGGAACAACATTTTCCTGCCAAATACCAGGCTAAAAGACTTGCAGTGGAAGTGAAATCAGCTAAGTACAGAGATACTAACACGTGTCTGACATTTGCCTTCCCCCAAAGGAAATCTGGGCATGATCTTACACACTTTTTTCATAATGCAACCCCTAACATTAAGATACAGCTACAGTTTGTAACAGCTCAGCTGCTGCTTTTTAAAATTCTAACTTAAGAGCCTTAGAGCAAGTAACAAAAAAGATGGACAAAATTACAGTATATTCACACAGGTTCTAGGCTTACCTCGTCTGCAATTGAAAGCCCTGGCACAGATTTCAAATGAGCAGACAGTGACAGCAGCTACCCAGACAGAACAGAAAGGAAACCAACATTTGGGGCCCATTTTTATTTGTAAGAAGTTCCAAAGTATAGCAATACCTCCAGTTCTCTGAGTGCATTATCACATTCCTTCTGCCCGGGAGCTTGCTGGGTGCACAGGGTGATGAGCTGGTTTATACTCTCAGTCACAGCTCTAGGCAGAGTACAAGGAAAAAAAGTGTATTTTAAAGTTAAACTATTCCTCTTAGTAAAACTTTTGTCTCATTAACTGTACGCTGCACAAAGATCTTTGATCTTCTACTGCATTTTTTCTTTTCAGTGTTTGGTACAAATACCAATCAGTTTACTTTCTTTTGGGGACTGACAGGTTTACTGTTAGCTACTGCCTTGTCAGGACACAGACAGTGAAAAAACAGTAGGCAAAATACACTGGTGCCTTTCCAAAACCAGCCCAACTCAAACTGCTGGACCTTATTTCCACCCAGGGCAACAAGTAATGCCAGTTAAGAAACTACTCCAACACATGCTGCTCTCCCCAGGCCTACAGGAACTGCAGGTTCCAACCACTCAGCCAACTGTCAACAGCAGAACATATAAACATCACAGAGCAAAGCAAGTATCTCCAGAAAACCTGAAGCAAGCAACACATCCTTACCTTGCTGCTGCTGCTAAGAGGTTCTTGGCATTGGGAGCTCCAGGATCGACAGACAGAGATTTGGCTGCTAGTAACAGCTTGCTGGAAGCCATGGAGATACTCTTGAGGTTACCTATTACTTGAATCTGATCCTCTTTAGTCTGGAAAGCCAGAGCAGCATCACATTAAGTGCAGAATATGCAACAGAGTATGTCAAAACCATGTTTGGTAACTCAGTTTGTTTATCCACCTGAAACTACTGACACACATGGGACCATGTCCAGAGAAGGACAGGGACCAAAGCCTCTTCACCCAGACAGGTGCCCCAGCTTCACTCACATAACAGGGGAGAAACCCACACAACTGAGAGCTTGGCTTCTAACAAGGGCAGCATTCACAAATGAGCATGGAGAAACTTTACTACTTGTTGAACAATGCCTTTGTTGTCAAGACTCTCATGTGTCTCTGCCTGGCACAACTGCCTCACATCACTCAGTCGGTGGACACACTCTGTATTCTAGCATCTTCTGTGTAAGCTCTCCAGCATCTCACTGGGATTGCTCACACAAAAATATCCCTCCAGAAATCCTCCATCCCAAGAAAGTAAGTTTCTATAAGCCCACTTCAGTCAGCACTTTAACTTGGATGTCCCATTGCTTATTTTAGGCCACTGCTTGAAAAGGGAAACCTGTATATAAATACAGCTACAGAAAATACTACATTTTCCCAGCAAAGAGCTGTGATGAGATTCTTCTGTCAATGACCAGTAGAAGTAAATCCATTCTTTCTAACAGTCTGCTCAGGGTTTATGTAAAGAGGTTGCACATTACTCAGCTGATGTGAACAGCTTTTACTCTATATTTACTACATTCTGCTTCCTGCCTACCCAGCACTTTGCTAGGCATCCAAAAGACATAGTATTGCTTCTGTTTAGGACGAGTAACTAGACACAGGCAGAAGGCACTCTCCTTTCAAAGATGGTTATCATCCTCTCTGTCAGCAGGGTAAGAAAATTCACAAGGGGCACTAGGTCATCAGCAGTTGGAATTCTTGTTTCAAGCAGCCATTTACAGTATAATTTCTGCCTTTGCTTTCATTGAATTGCCTCAAACAAACCATTCTCCAAGTCATTGAGGCCCATGGCTAAAGAGATAGTGCTCCACTCTGTAGCAGGTCCACAGCACCAGAGTGATATCAACACATCTTTTCCTCCCTCTACACAAAATTAGTGAAGAAAGGTGCTGAATTTTGAACAGTGCTCACTGCTACTCCATGGCAGTTCTACCAAAACAGAGGCAGCTCTTTCCATAAGCTCTGAGGTTTCAGCACACCTTTGTACCTTCAGATATACAGCTCTAATTAGTTAACTGCCCAAACCAGGCAGAGTATGAAGTCATATTTCTGACTGGACACAGGAACAAACACCAATATCCTGTGCAAAATGCAAACGCTGAGCTCACTTCACTGCACACAGCCAGCTGTGGCTGCTGCTTGCTAACCAACAACTCCCTCTGCACCCGACCTGTCCTGACACCAGCGCGTGGCACCGTGCTGCTGGGCAGCCAAGACACCACACTGCTCTGCCCGAGGCAATCCTTGGCCTCCACAGCACCATCAGGAACTTACTTGTGCCTGCCCAGCCATTTCAATACCAGCATCGAGAAATTCATCAAAGTCATCACTGAACTTTCCAGAGGCTGCAGCCAGTTCCCCACTCTGGCCCCGTGTAGCATGGACAACTTCTCCTGCTGACTGGTTCAGGTCTGCTGCTGCCTGGTTCAGCTCACTCTGAGCTTCTTGAAATGACTTGGAACTTGGAGGTAGCTGCAAGAGACCAAGTTGTGTGTTTTATTGGCCGTCACATCACAGCTGCCCTTCAGGACTGGAAAGTTCAGCACAGTCTGAGAACACTGAATGCAATAGAGTAGTGAGTTTGCAAACTGAACCAGAATACTGCAACGGGACTGCCAGTGGTGAGATCTGAATGCAGAGCAGTCCAGCTGTGGGACAGCTATCACCCAGACATCTGCCCAATGACTCCAGTCCCACCGTTGGCTTCAAGGGACAGACAGGTCTGTGAGCTTGTCAAGGGACAGAGATGATGACAGTTCTCATAGTTTAACTACAAAATCCAAAGTGATGAACTCAGTGGCAAAAGTTGGAGAATTCTGGTCTCCAAGTCATCATTCACTTGCAGGAACAAGCTTTTCAGAACACCACACAAGCACTGGCAGCTCTTCAGAACTAACCTAAACTCTCTTTGGCTTGGTAAAAAAACAACTAGTTTTACAAAAAGGCATTGCACAAACACATCGAAATGCAGTTCCTCCTTCACTCACAGGAGAGCAGGATCACTGGTAGGTGCAGGAAAAGAGCTGTTCCAATAATAAAACCTTCTGGCAAATTACCAGTGCACAAAGAGTGTTTTGATACAGGTGCAGTCAAACAAATACAACAATTCTACTCCTTGTATGAAATGACCAAACATTTTTTGACTGATCCTGACGCTCCTTCCAACTGAACCGATCACTTCTAGGTGGAGATGGACTATAGTTTTGTAGTTTTCATATTCTTCCAAATGTTAAGTCATAGTTGACATTTTCAAAAAACCAATCTAACACTGATCTAGGACAACAGTTTCACTATTGCCTTCACAAGTCACAGACACATTTCACCTTGCCCATAAAACTAGAAGCTGCTTAAAGGTGCAGAAACTGAAACACAGCTTACATGAAGTATGCTGACAGCACATTTACTCAGCACTAATCTGAGACATGGGGAACCCAGCTCTGCTTTTCAGTGCTCTGAGGTTTACACCTCTGTTAACGACATCTCACCGAATCGACAAGGAGCTTCTTGCTAGACTCCCCAATACTCTTCAAGGCCACGTCCACATCCTTTTGTCCAGGCAGACAATTCACACAGTTGTTCAAGGAGTGAGACACTGCTTTTGCCACCTACAACACAGAAGCAAACACATGCACCCTGAGGAAGGCTGAAGTGGCCACTAACAGGAGGCACAGCCTCTGGTTGACTGTCAGCAGTGTTCTGACTCTTACAAGACCATTTCTGAGGCTCGTGACTCTTGCTGCCCTGCAGCCTTGCATATTTTGCCAAAAGATGCCTAGAACGTAATATTTCACACCATCTGCATTGACATATGTGTGATGTTGCTATCTGAGAGCTGCTGAAAGGAAGGGAAGGCTGACATTCCTCACGGACATATTTTCTGTTGTTCCCTCTCCTTACCTAGTGCTGCATGTGAAGCAGTTTCATTGGGTGTCTGACAATTCAGGCAGCTGCTTGAGTCAGGACTTACCTGGGCTAATCTCTGCTGCCTGTCTGCATCCCCTGGGGCAGCCAGGGCCTGCTTGGCCTCCTGGATCAGCATAGCAGAGCCTTCCATGACATCCCTTGCCGAGTCCAACATTGCATGTGCTGCCACAGGGTCAGTAGTGGACGCTGCGACCCCTCGTGCTGCCTGGGCCAAAGTCTTCAAAGCCTGAGCAGTTTCTCTGGCAGCAACTCCTGCGTTCAGATTTCACCAAGGATTCTGTTAGTGCCCTTAAGACAATCTTTGTATTTTATAACATGAATTTACAGATAATGATCCCATTGCAAAAACACTGCAAATGCAGTTTAAAAGAGAATCTTCAAACATGAACATGTTTGAAACACACAGCATCATTTCCTTAGAGTAAGGCCTGTAGTGAAGCTGCAAAGTAAATATTATAGCCCAAAGACCACATGGGCACAGCTCTACACCAGTAACTGCATCTTAGCAAAGCACTGAAAAAGAAGAAAATCTAAAACCTGCAGATGAGAACAGAAAAATCATACTCCAAGCTATGGGGGAAGGCCATTGCCTGCAAGAATAGTGTGCATGAGTTCACAGCCACAGCATCTCTGCTGCTTCTGAAAACACAACTTTGGAGCTTTTAGCAAACAAACACAACAATAGCTTCAAGTCCAAGCAATTAGGAATGGTGTAACTCAAGATAACCCAACACCACCACGAGTGCAAGCACAGAAACAGAACTGAATGAGGTCACAGAGAGGAAGTCTTGAACTTGGCATCTGTGGTCTGTCTGGCCAACACCAAAGGACACTGAGCAGCCTCAGAGCTAAGGCACATGACTGTGTGAATAGTGGTCTCATTCTCCTTTTTTTGAAATTGTATTCAGCCCTTAATGAAAACTAATATAAAAAAGTCCTCTAGAAAGCATTAATTAGCAGAGTCCAGCCAACAACACACACAGCTAATACCGGTGGTGTATTTTGAGTGATACTGTCAAAAACATGCTATCCCTGCCAAAAGAAAGCCAGAGAAAAGGCTGACATTTGCACATGCAGTGGATTGTATCCCTGTTCCTTTATGATGCACCTGATTCACACTCTTAGCAACTCTTAGTGACTTGCACGACTCACTACCAGCATTAGAACCAAAATGCATGATCCCTTGATTTAGGTATTCTGTGATAAACAGCTTTGACAGAGTGCTGGATGGAAAGCAGAGGCTTTGCAGAGACAACATGAACAAAACACTACCTGTGTAGTGCTCGTTGCCTTGAGCAGCACAAGTTAACAGCTGGGCCATCGAAGAACCAACGGCTTTGGATGTGCTTCCCAGGTCCTGAGTGCATTTCTCAAGCTGTGAAAAATTGCAAAGGACAAAGTTCTTTGTTTAAGTTCAACTAAAACACACTTGTTTTTCAAACAGTACTAAAAAATTCCTCATTCCACAAACCTCCAAATTTTTACCTCAGCTACTGAACAGCACAGAGTTTCTCTGGAACCTGACTAGCATGTCTGCCCTGTCCAGCATGAAATAAATTAACAAAACTATTTTATAAGTAGGAATAGAAACAAATACCTTCATCTGGGGAGAAGCTTGGGGGTTTTTGCCAAATAAACTGTTCCACTTTCTAAGCCTACTAGGACTGGCTGTCTCAGAGCTCCTGAGTTCTCATATTTGTCACTTGTGCAAAGAAATTCTTCAAGACTGAAACATTAGGGTTACTACACTGTAATTTGTACACAGGGACAGAGGCCCCACAGTCCTATAGTAACTCTACTACAGAACACACTCCACGTATAGTGGTAATAAGTCCTTTTGAAGTGACTTGGTGCAAAATCCCATCAGCACCATTATTACCCAAAGCCTCATGACTTCTTCGGTCTCTCATGTTTATATTTTTCAACAGCTAACTTTGTGTGGTTTAAATGAAGTAACCCCTTCCTCAATTACAGTTTCTCCCGGGAGAGGCTTCAGCTGTCCCTCCACTGCTGCCATCTTCGCATCCTGCAGTTCGTTCTTCAGCGTCTGCACCGTGTTCAGAGCAGAATCGATTTCCATGGGGCCACATGCTTCATGAGCCTGTTCAGCAATCAGATCAACAGCACTGTTAGCAGCTGTAAACAAACTGCCCTCCCAGCTGATTCTCCCATCTCTTTAGGGGCTGTGGGCACTCTGGAACATTGTACAACACAGACTCCAAACTCCTGCCCGAGAGTAACTTGGACTCCTGGCTAAGAACAGTCTGTGAAGAGAGTAACACACTGTTGAGAGGCACCAGGGGAATGAGATGCACTTGGTGTTCACACACCTCTGCACTAGGCAGTCCAGGCACTGAGAACATAACTGCTGCAGTGTGGACCTCACCTCTGAGCTCTGCCTAGCTGTGCCTGAGATCACACTGCACCCCTGATGTGGCAGCTCACAGCCACCAGTACGAGCTGGAGATGTTATTGTTGGCTCAGGTGTGAGCCTGGGGGACACAAAGCTGCCCTCCCTGGCTGACTGGGGCTGTTGTACCCACCTTCTGTGAGGCAGTGCGCAGCTCGGCCAGGCTGGTCGCCAGGTTCTTGGCACACTGGCTCAGCTGCATTGCTGCTGCCTGGTCAGTCACCGTGGGGACTGCAGCCTTAGCAGATGCCACCATTTTACTTCCAGGCTGCTCAAAGAAGAACAGTGAACACAGTTGGCTTTACTAGCTCATTTTCTTTAAAGAAGGCTTAGGATTCATTAAACAACCTGCTTCCTCCATGCACACCCACGAGGTTTCCAGATCTTTCTTTCCTGAGCAGGCAATGACTACTTCACTGGGGCCTGCCTGAGGCCTCTGAGTACCCGTGCAGACTACCTCAATACATCCACATGTGAAACCTGGCCACTCAGCATCCTTGTGCTACAAGCAGGTCCAGGTGGCACGGATGGCAAATTTGTCTTTATGTTCCTAAATATTGAACTCTGCCAAAATTCCATACGTTGGAAACCATAACTCAAGCAATGGCTCTTCAGAGGTTGCTACTAATGCAATTAAAATACTTAGCTGACTCTTATCATCACTACTGCACACACACAGCCAGAGAGAGATGACCCATCATTTGAATGGCTCCAGAGCAAAAAGCCTGAACAGAGGGAGAGGTTTGCACGGGACAACAGGAACCTGCAGCAGCAGCCACACCTGAGCAAGACTAACTGGTGCCAAGCAATGATTGGGTCATTGCAGAGAACTGGTTTCTTCTGCTTCTTGTAACGTCAACAATGAACTCAACAGTTTTGTTATCAACGCTCAATATTCTGTATTTGTGTTCTATTTTTAAGACGTTTCGGAAACAGCACAGAGCCAAATACTGTGCTTTGTCCAACACCTCAATCCAGATCCATCCTGCAGGCTACTAACCAAAACAGCCAACCCAAAACCCATGGCATGGTCCCCTTTTACTTCTGAGGAATTCTGTGGCTTGTTGCTGCAGCACTAAGTTTATCTTGCCTAAGAAGGTTACAACAGCACCTCCCATACTCAGATCTCTACTTCCAAAGATGCCAAATACTGTGCTTTGTCCAACACCTCAATCCAGATCCATCCTGCAGGCTACTAACCAAAACAGCCAACCCAAAACCCATGGCATGGTCCCCTTTTACTTCTGAGGAATTCTGTGGCTTGTTGCTGCAGCACTAAGTTTATCTTGCCTAAGAAGGTTACAACAGCACCTCCCATACTCAGATCTCTACTTCCAAAGATGCTGAACTCTCTCCCTCTTTAAACTTTCTTTCCCAGAAGGCAAGTGCTACAGCAATGACTGTTTTTCCTCCATAAACACTAGTTTTCCTGTCACTTGTATCCTCAATTTCAGCAGCTTTCACTCTCCTGAGGTTCCACATGCTTCAGCCATCTCACCTGAGGACTAAATTCTCTTTAGCTATGGTCAGCGATGAACTGCTTCACATGGTTCCTAACAGTTTACTGTTTATTTATCACAACTGAAAACACAGAGCACTAAAAACCAGTTTTTGCATCTACCACAGTGATTGATTCACTTCACCTGCAGGAAATTCTGGCTGGAATTTATTAAAGCAAGTTGGGCACTGAGGTCTTCGGCCTGAGCTTGGCTTCCTCGGACACCCTGCACCAGCTGAGGAATGTGGTCTGCAACATTCTAAAACAAACACAGGGAAAAGCTTTGAGTAAACAAATAAACACTCAGAACCCTCTGGCACTAAAGCACCATCCAGAGATGAATACTCTGTGCCTTCACAAAACTGATTTTGGATTCCATGGAGCCAAATGAATACAAAATAGGATTTTTTAGAGATGTTCTACTTAAGGAATCCTTATTCAAGCTACTTATTAGTTTAAGGATCCTACAAGACAACCCAAGATTTTTATGCAGAATTATGTACACAAAGTACTTGTAATTTCTTCCTCGGCAGTTTTAAATGCCAGTGGTGGAGATGACAGACTTTTCCAAGAGAATGTCTTACTTTCATTAAAACACACCTTTTACACACAAGTTACCTCAGGCTGCTTTTCCTTGACCTTCAACACCACAAACTTTATAGCATGGCTGGAGCATCTGCAGGTGTGTATGGCTAAAACTTGATTCCTGCACTGCCCACACTCATGGCCCTGGTCCATCACATCCTGCACAGTAACACTCACTTGGGCAGTGCAATGCTCAACTACCACTGCCACAAAACGTAGAAAAGCAGACTCTGAATCTTCTCTGCTCACTAATAAATGAGCATGAGATAAAATCAGAAGGGGCTGCAAACAGTACAGTGAATCAGCTTGCCTTTTTTTTAACTCATACCAAAACAGCAGCTCTCTACATTGCAATTTGGAGCTGGACTGGAGCTACTTTATTTAATGCCAACATATCTGAGACTGCCACCCGGACAAGCAGCAGCTGCTGGATGTCAGTGTGGCTTTGCACAATGCCTTTTGTTTCCCACTGAGCTGCTCTTTGCTGCAAGAGAAAATCCTTATGCATTCTATTGCCTTTTTTCATTTCTGGTTGAAATGCAATTTCTTCATGAGTCACACCTACAAGTGAAGCAGCCAAACACAGCTTAAACACAACAGAGAACAGCTTCTCTCCAGACTCAGCTCTAGCTTGGAACTACCAAAGTGTGCTTGACTTGGGGAATGCCTTGAAACCAGTGGATTTGACAGCTTGAACTTCAAGCCAGGAATCATGGTAACCCCACAGGAAGGTCTAGAACTTGTTTCTTTCATGGTGACATCTAAGGTCCCAGCTGCTTGGAGGCTGAACACAGGAACAGCAGGATCCGAGTCGTTACTTATACAACCAATTATGTAACTGACACATTGAACCAGAACTTCACTCCAGTGTAAATCACTACTGCTACTCCACCCCTCACTGAGAAAAACTCAGAGGTTACCTTTGCTCCACAGCACTCCTCAGTCCCACTCCACTGCCTGGTTTGATGCCCACAGAGCTACTCACTGCCCAGGCTCACCCTCGTGTGCTGAATGTACGGCCGAGATCAGAGGCACAGGGCAGTCCTGAGCAGCCACAGCTTCCAGCACAGCTCTGCTGTGCAGCACTGCTGCCTGAGGTGTACCAGGGCCTGCCTGTCACTCAGCAGCTCCATGCCTGTCACTCTGGCACAGCAGTGTGTTTGCAGGGGTGTTTGTCAGGTGGCACTGACAGCAGCTCGGCCTTGCCAAGCTCTACATGCAGCAGGGCATGGGTACCCCAGTCAAGTGAGGGTTCTCCAGAACACATACAGAGGAGCGTGTGCAGTGTTGGAGTGTCTTTAATCTCCTCTCGAGGCTGCAATAGTATTGCAGAGGGTGCTCTTCAGTTCCCCACAAAGCTCAAGAGTTATTGCCGGGGTCGTGGTGTGCTTACCTTGCAGCTCTGCACAAGTTGCTGGTGGGCTGCTGTGTTCTTGTTGGAAACTGCTGCATTCTGGGAAGCTGCAATAGTCTGAGTAGCAGCAGCTGCAGCTTGTTTAGCTGCAATCTTTGGAGAAAAACAAACAATTAAGTCAGTGGCACAAGTTTGAGTAATTCAGAGGGGGAAATACATACTATAGGTAACTTGGACAGTAACAGCTTTGACAGATGAATACATTACACCCTTAATTAATTTGGTTTGCCATAAGGAAACTCAGGATTGCTTTTCTCTCAGGATGAAAGCTATTTGAGCACAGTTATCCATCTCTAACTTGCCAACAAAGAAAAAGGTTGAATTAGAAAGATGCTACTTTCCTATTCTTTCACAGCTTAGGTTGCAATAGGAGCAAAAGAAATCAATTACCTAAACCTGCCACCTGAGCTAAATCCTTACACCTCTTGACTACATCAGCAATACAGGTTGCTCAGTTGTCTGAGCACATGATAACATGTACTGGTGCCTGTAAGCCCAAGCCTCAGGGTCTGGAGCTGAGTCGACAGTGCACATTCTGTGCTTAGCACTTCTACTGAAATAGGCATTTCTACTTTCTTGGAATCATCTACAGATAGTAATTATCAAAAGGGAGCAAACAGAAAACTCAACGTGTCGTTCCCAACCTCCAGCCTGTTGACAATCTTCTTCTTGATGGCGTTCTGCGCGGCAGCGTTGGTGGCCACGCGCAGTCCCTCGGCCGCCTCGCGCAGCCGCTGCTGCTGCTCCTCGTTCTCGGGGTTGGCTGCAGCTCCCTGCACAACATTGCACAGCAAAACCATCAGCCTCAGTACAGCTTACTGCAGGAAACATGGCTGAATATCAAGGCTTTAGCTCTAGGCAGTGTCTGCTACATCAGCCTAAGTTTGCCTTATGTTAGGAGAACACTACAATGCTACGAGATTTCAAAGTGGAAAATCTATTGCTAGTGGAAGGTTGTTACTGTGTGTGTCTGGTGCTTTGAGGAAGAGAGTTGAACATACACTTCAGGTGCTTGGGAAAAAAGCCCTTGTACACTGCCCCTATGAACTACAACGTACTTGGATGAATGCAGGTTTTGAAAAAAAAAAAAGAGTTTTTTAAAAATCCCAATTCAATGCACCCCTCAGTAACTGCAGTCCAGAGCCTGAGCTATCACACTGCAGGTTTCCTCTGTTAGAAGTCAGAGCACTGGGAAGCCAAGGATTATGCTCTGCAGCCAGGCACACAGGCCTTGTCCCTGCTGCTGCACAAAGCATTCAGGTGCCGATCTGTGAAGCAATTCAAAGGATTCATTCCTCCACAGGGGATTTACACAGGCCTCCAGCACCAAAAGGAAGGAAAAGGTTAGATATTTGGGTCCCTGTGAGAACAGGGATGGGCAGGGGAACCACACAGGCAAGATTCCCCAGGTGGAGGAAAGTATCCCTCAGACAGAGGAAAATAGCTTTGTTAATGGCTCCTGTAAGATATTGCTATGGATTTGTTGGTCCATTTTTACTGGCACAAGGCTCTGCACCATGATGGGGACAGCTGGTGGCACCTGCCCCTGGATGGCTGGAGCCACCACCAGCCTGCACACAAGGAGTGCAAGAAGGGTTTTAAAACCAGAACAATCCAGGCAGGAAATAAATCGGGTTTTGGAGCAATCCAAGGACAAGTCATTCAACGCCAAACATTTGCAGGGTGAGAGAAACTGCCTCTACTCCCAGCCAGATGCTGTCTACAGCATCCCACACACCATCTCCCCTGTGTGTCCCCATAGGATTCTGAGCTGACAGGTGATTTCCTGGTACCTTTGCAGCTTCAACCATGCGAGCTGTGGAGTCTGCCAGGAGCTTGGCGGCCGCCAGGAGCTTCTTGGAGTTCTCCATGTCGATTTCTGCCTCGGCGTCCGACCTCATGGCATTGACCAGATCCGAGGTGGCCTGGGCCAGGACCCTGGCCTGCCTCACCATCTCACCTGGGGGCACAGGTACCATTACTGCTCCCTGCACCACGGCTCGGTCAAAGCTCAGCGCCGCTTCGCGGGGCAAAGATAAACTTACACTGCTCAAGTGCTTTGTACTGGAAAATGATGCACAGGGAGCTCATAAATTACAAGATTCATGGACCAAATCTTGGATCACAATAGAAAGGATGGAGATTAAGACAAAAAAGCAGTGCTTGCATTTTAAACAGCAAGACAAAATTCCCAGATCAGTATGTTCAGGTAGTTTTGAATATACAGTTCCAGGGAACTCCTGCCCCAGCAAACATTAATGATTTTGCTTTCAAATTTCAACCAAGATTTCAGTAACAACTACCCATCTTTCACCTGTTCTTTTGGGGAATGATCTTCTGCCTAATATCAACTAAATTCAGAACTTTGTCAGAAGAGACTTAGCACAATTAAGATGGTTTTGGCCAAAACTAGGATGTGTATTTAGGATAGTGGAGTGGTGTCCTGGACACGGTGAAGCAGAGGTGAAACAACAATGCCCCTGAAGTGGGTACACATCCTTGGCAGAATAACCTCACATGGTCACAAAACACACCCCTGAACCCTTCACAGACAGATTGGAAGCAAAAATGCCTTTGGCTTTTCGTAGGTTATCAAATCAACTCAGACATGTTTGGGTCTACAAAAATGTACTTAGGAAACCATGGGAATGAAGATGGAAACAGCATTTTTCTCATGTGTAAAGGTGACTCGTGGGCATCAGAATCAAATGACCAAGCTCCTCTGGTCAGGCATAGGCAAAAAAATAGTACAGTTTTCTAGCTGTTATCAACTATTTTTACCAAATATTTCCCAGTGTGCAATTTTGCAATTAATATTTTTACCAAAACTGGCTAAGTCAGCTCCTAGTCTAAATATCCCCCTTGAAAAAAAGTCCCTTTAAGTGTCTTTTCTTACAGCAATAAGTCAGTAAATGGAAGAAACATAACACCTACTAGGCCAACTCCAGCAGTGACAAGCTAGAGTGTCTGTGCTGTTAGAGATCTTGAGTTTTGGTTGGTTCTAGATGCTGCACATTTCAGAGACATGACACAAAGATGTAGGAATAAGTTTAAAAACATGTGCCAAAATCTACGCACGATAAAATCAATCACTGTCAGGTATCTGCACAGGTGCCAGAGAAATTTCTATACAGTTCTGGCGAGTGAAGCAGTGGGAGAAGACAGACAAAATATTACAGTGATCTTCTAGCATGACATTGATAGTGAATATTTTGTGAAAACAAGGCAGCACACAGCTCTGTGCACTCGGCTGATTTAACATCCTGGGGCGAACGACTCCCCACCACGCCAGCAGAGCGCACACGGGAGGAGGATCTTCCCTCCCCTGTCTGGAAGGTGCACAGCCCTGGAAAGCTGCCGTGCCTCGCAGGAACTCACCAGCGTCTCCCATGGAGCTGAAGATGCTCTCTGTGACACACATGATGGTGTCC